CGCCTCTACACNCTTCGCTACGACACCACGCAACCACACGAGGACACTGTGCGTGACGTGGAGGTACGCACGCGCCACAAAAAATAGGCACCAGAGAGCACAGTTGGATTGCGTTGCCACCGTGCTGATTGTGTTGCCTCCTCTCGGTGGGTGTGTGGATCTATCCATCTATTCATCTGCAGAACCTCATCCATGAGTTGAAGAGACTCGAGAGTGGTCTGGTGTTCTTGCGGGAGGAGGCATGGCGCAACTTCGAGCAATCTCTCAACCTGCCGGCCCTTGGCCTTGCCGAGGGCTCCCTCATCAAAGCCATCAAGGGTTCGTTGCTCCACCTACCTGACCCCTCTCAAGCTTTCCCCCTCGTTTTCTATTTCCCCTTCCCTCACGTGGTGGACCGCGATGGCGTGCACTCACCGCAGGCGAACAGCCGCCGGGCGCAGCCAGTGCCGGCAGCACACAAGCCACCGCAGAGGGAGGTACCGTGAAGCACCCTGTTGTGGTGTCCCTCCCCCCTTTCCCCCGTTCGCGTTCGGTTGTTGACTCTACGACGGCGGCGGCGGCGGTGATGGTGTGTCGTGCCAGCCGGCGTGCGATTGGATGACTCCAGCGAGCTCAAGATGATGCGGACGAGAAGCACCAAGACTCTGGAGGACAAGAGCCCGCAGGAGAAATGGCAGGCCATGTTCCGTACGCGGCCTTCTTTCCTCTCCTCCCACACCCGCCCTCCCGCGTCCCATCAGTTCACCCTCCCCCCCCCTCCTCCACCTCCAGGAATGTTCCAGGAGTGGCGTCGCCACACGACCCTCGCTGAAGCGCAGCGCTTGTACCGTGCCCCGCCCCGTGGTCCACCATCACACCAGTGGTGCCCCTACTTACCACCCACTCCCTGCCCACTCACCAGGTCGGAAAAGGACGCCAAGGCGCTGAAGCGGGAGCAAGTGGCCAAGCTGCGCGCCGCGGTGTACACCCTGCAGCAGAAGAAGGAGCTCACTCAATCCGACCAGCTGCTTCTGCAGCAGCTCTCCCAGCGCCTTCGCATGCTGCACAACACCTAGACCTCCTCCATCGCCCCCTCCCTCCCTCCCTCCTTCTCTTTCTTTTCCCTATGTTTTGCACATAATGAACCTTTTTTTTCGCGCTTGCGCCGGCGCACTCCCACGCAAGCAGGGTTCGTTCGTCCCCACCGCCCTGGTGTGTCGATGTCTTGCCCTGGGCGGCTGTTGTTGTCGTCTTCTCTTCGCCTGCGCATGTGGTGCATTCCTCGTACGGGAGTGGCGGTCGCAAGTTGCTGGGGCTCCGCCGCTTTGCGGACCCCCAATCACTCGACGGGCGCTGGGGGCTGGATGGCCAGCGGCACTGCGCCACCGCCACCGCCACCCACGCAAGCCGCACAGGTGAGGAACACCGACCCACCGACCCACCCACCCGGTCACGAGCTGCTTGCGAACGCTGTGGCCGACTAAGCAAGCGCACGTACGCCTGTCCTTGGTGAAGGTGGTGCCTGTCTTGACGGCGACAAGGACCTGCTTGTCTTCGATCTCCTCCAGGCTGCCTATCTTCCTTCCCTCCACTGCACGCACACGTTTAGTTGCTCCGCGGTACATTGCTCCGCGGCCGCGGGGAGAGGGGGGGGGAACGTGGGCACGTCTACGTACCCGTGTAGAGTGCGCGCACCGCGGGCAGCAGGCTGAGTTTTTCAGCCACGTGCTTGTGGAACTGCGCAGTCACGACATCGGCACGCACACGTCCAACTCCAATGTTAACAACCGGGGCAGGGGCGGTGAGCTGCGAGGGGCGCGGGTCGATGTGCGTGCCTGGTCGAGAGTGCGGAAG